GAGAGGGGAGAGAGTGGGGTAATGGATTAGGGAGGGATCTCAGGGTCTGTTTGGTACGCCTCATTGGATTGGATTAGCTTAAATAACACCCCTAACCCACGTTTGGTGTAGCGCTTCTTTAAGTTAAATGAGACTATACAGTCTGGACCTACCAAAAACGCTTCGCTCGTTCGCACAAAATAGAGAGCTTCGTGGAGGTGCCGCTAAATAACGAAGTCACTGTTTTGGACGATCGAGTCTGCCATTATCCAAAGTTGCTCTACTCTTCTATTTTCTCTTAACGTTGCTCTGGCTCTCCTCTCTGTCTCTACTCTTTTGTTTTGCTTTGCTTTCCTCTGTCAGACCACCGCCATCAAACCTATAACGAGCCACCACAGACCCAATCGAATCATCATCATCACCCAATCAGTCAATCAAACCATCATTACCACCATAACAAACCATCACATACCCAGGTCAACCACTGTTGGCTGCGCAAATCTCACAGCCTGGTGCTTCGGGCCGAGGGGATGTGCGTTAACACATGACGTCCTTCTTTCGGATGTGGTGTGGTTGTGTGCGGGCGTGCCAACACAGTCTTCCGTGCGTCAAGATGGTGATGAGGTTTGGGTTGAAGATGGTTTAAATGATGCGCCTGTTTCGAGTTCGACTCCTGGTCAAACAATTGTGGCCGAGAGAGGAATTGATCTCGGCCGTCAGGTTCACGGCCTGAGCTACAAGGCCGTTTAATGGTGGTGTTGGTGGCGGGTTTTAGGCGGTGCTCCGGCGCGTTGCTCAGATAGCGGCGGTCATATGATATATGGGGTGAATGAGATGACAACAGAGATGGTGCTCCGGCGCCTTGAAAATCAAGGGTCGTATGATATATTGATGAATGGATTTTCCTTACAATCTACCACTACTCCTAGGAAAGCAAATAAAGGTATTGAAAGTGCATTACAGGAAAATATAATTTGCTCCGTGGGAGGCTTTTGGTTTGGTGTTTGAACCCCTTGAATGTGGTCTTGAGCTTAGTATTTATAGGGGGAGTCCTGGAGAGACAATCAAGGCTGAAAAGATCTGTGTGATGGAGCCTGATCGGGGCAAGTGGGTAGTCAAATCGGCATTTGGGATCGTGAAGCTTGGTGGTGTGACCCCCATAAATCCCAGTAAATCTCGGCCACCGCCTTGATCGTAGGTTCTGCCCCCTTGGCTGTGGGAATGCATTTAATGCCCTGGTCTTGTGGTTGGTGATATGACCTCAAGTGGTAAGAATACTTGTGATAATGTTTGCGCCTAACCACTCTGATTTCCATCACCAAATCCTGACTTCAGTCACTTCCCTTCTTCTCTCGTGCATTAAATGCTTCTTGTGACTAGTGGGTTTACTGCGATAGTTAGAGGCATTACTTCATTAAATGGGGCGTGGGTAATACCGCGGTCGCGAGGCCGAGAGGATTCTGCCTTCGCAACTTTTCTCTTGCTTTCAGGAGGGCGAAATGCCTAATGAAACGTGGCCGTTTCGGTTCATGAGTAGGTGTTAGGGCAGAGAGGAGGTCCCTTCGGTCAGTTTATGACCGTGATTTATTAGGCACAAACAACCACCATCACCATCCAATCAAACCACCACAACCAATAATTAATGGAATCAGAGAGAGAGAGAGAGAGAGGTTGATTCAATTGGATTTGTGGCAGCATGAAGAGAGAGTGAAATGGAGGGAAAGAAGAAGAAAAGAGAAAGGAAAGAATAGGAAGAAAGAAATAAAGAAAGAAGAAATTGCCTGGGAAGAAGAAAAGAGGAAAAAATAGGGAAAAAAGAAATGGGCCAGAAGAAAAGACGCGAGGAAGAAGAAAGAAAAAAGAGATCAAGGAGAAAAGAAAAATAATTTAAAAAAAAAAAAAGATAAGATACTTTAAGAATTTTATTTATTTTTAGGTCCAAAATCCTTAATTAAAATTAAATATTAAAATAATTATTTTTAGTCCGACACCACCAAACATAGGTCTTCACTATTTTTACAATCCAGCTTCTTAATCCGACGCAGCACCAAACGGAAGTCAGTACTTAATCCAGCTTAGGCCAATCCGAACTAATTCGAGACAGTCCCAGGATTTAGTCCAGTCCATAACAATCCGCCGTGCCAAATGACCCCTCAAGGGCTAGTGTTGATGATTTTTTTTTTTTTCTCTTTTTCTTCAATTTTTCCAAAAAAAATCATATTTTAATCAATCTAAAATATAAAAAACAAAACAAAAATGTCGAACCCATAAGTGCAAAAAAAAAAAAATCATATCTTAATCCAGCACCACACAAGTCTAAACCATAGAGACTGTCAAACAACGTAACATGTACCATGATACAAGTACTTCCAGTTCATTCCTTAGCCATTTCACTCTCAATCCATTCGCGCTTGGCTTCAGGATCTTTCAATTTACAAAACATCTCTCTCTTCTTTTTACTTGAAAACAACCCTTTCGCAAACCACAACATCTTGTCCTTTGCCCTCTTGTCCTCATCATCTGGCATCTTATCCTCATCATCTGTCATCTTTTCCTCATCATCAAAATAAAAAATTACTTGTCCAAGTTCGGCCCTCATCTCAAGAAACGATGTTTCAGGAAACACACTTGGAAGTACCGCAACAAATCCTCCATTATTCTCATCTTTCTTACCTTGTCTTCTCCTTTTCTTCATCCAGGATGGACTTTACGTACATTGAGTTGCAAGTACAGCAGATGAGAAAATTCAACAATAGGGTCAGTTTAGTAACTTGCTATATCATTCGTCCATTTATCACAAAGATAGAAACAAAAACATATAGAAAGATCACATCTTGACTTCAAAAACAGTCAAAAACCTTAATGGGCACCGAAATATGACTCCATTCACAAATACACAAATTCACACAGAAGTAGGGTAACCGAGAGAAGAATTACTTGTAGACATTTTCAAGTGTTTGATAGAAGCATTGGAAACCTCATCTACCCTTTCCCCTTTTAGATAGCAATGGAATGTTGGCTGCAGCAAAATGCACACATCAGCAGAGTAATATTCCATTTTAAGATAAAAAACAGGGCAGAAATATATTCACACAGCTTGAACAAAAAGCTTAACCCCCATTTCCCAGATAAGCATAGCTTGTTTATACTTTTCTGAATTATTAATTAGGATATGGTAAGAACTACAAGCCAAATTTAGAAAGAAAAGGTCAAACACATGAGAAATTACATCACTGAACTAAGTGCAGACATTTACATTCAAACAAAATAGAAGGATCGAATCATTTACCGTCTTGTGAATTCCCAACTTGTCCAATCTGGATCCAGCGATATTCTACAGATAGAATAAACATCAGATCTACTAGTTTAGAGGCATAACAAGAAATAATATGATGATTCTTCTACGCAGCTGCATGGCGCACCATAATTAGAGTATGGAAAAAATTACTGCATGAGCAAGCATTAATGCATAGCTAATGAAAAAATCCATAAATTTTATCAGGTCCATGATTAAGTTATCTTTTTCCCAGAACAAACTGATCAGGGCAGACAAGCATGGGATAAAACCCACTATGCCTCAGAACTCAAAAAAGACAATTTTGATTACTTCTCAGTATCAAGGACTGTCAAATATATTCACCAACAATTTATCTATTGTTATTACAAAAGTATAGGAAACATCTGCCCTGGAATCTCAACCAATTTTAAGATGAAAGGTGAAGTAGTGATGTATTTCTCTTATCTGTTTGATTTTAAGTAACCTTCTGATAAAAACATAATAGAAGGATCGAATCATTTACCACTTTGTCATAAAATCCACGCAAGTCAACAGGGTATCCATGGCCATTATATAGAAAATAAACAATGTCAGGTCTACTAATTTA